AAGCTACCATAATATTAACTTCCACTGAAATCTAAAACTATGCTTTAATTTTACCATTTTTAGGTTTTTTTTCCTTATGATACCACTAGAATGTAAGTACTACTGGAATAAAATACAACTGCAGTAACAAAGTTAAAATATTTATTCACCAGTAGTCACCCATCCCCACAAAAGATTCATGCATGCTGAAATCAGTCGTAAAGGAACACTGTACCCCTAAGTCAGTTTGCCATGAACATTAAAACCAATAAGCAAGGAATAAAGCAATTTAATAGGTAAATAAAAACATATTTTTCTATGTTCCAGGTACTTATGAGCTTATCGCACTGAGTCTCTTTCCAAGTGAACACCTACACCACAAATAATATTATATGAATAATATTTGCAAACAGTTAGCTTCTTTCACAGTTACTTTCCCTTAATTAAATCCTTTTGCAATCTCAGTTTAGCTAATAATCTGTTTGTTGGGGGGTTTTGCTTGGTTTTTTTTCAAGAAATGTATTTACTAGATAGAGTCAGAAGTGGTCAGAAGTGTCTGTTTCATAGAGAGTCACAAGGGATGTTTTTCGTGTTATATTCTTTATTACTTCATCAGCACATGGAAAATAATGCTGTACTGAAGCAGAAGAGTAATAGGGTCATTGACCTGTATCACTATAGAACAGGGCAACACCATGTGTTCTTCTGTCAGGACAAGTACCTAATTTATTAATTTTCTGTAGAACAGGTAATTTACATTAATATTATAAGTAGTTACATAATTTATGACATTAAAAGTGTGAAATTATTCATCAGCAACAATTTGGGTAAATGTTCAGTATGTAATTAGGAAAAAGAGTTAAAATGTGTGTTGTTCCTGTGTGGTATTCTTTTAATGGTTTAAAGTCAAGAAAGAAGAAAAACTCAGCTCCCCTAAACCAACATGGCTGAGCTGAAACCAAAGCAGTGATACCCATGGCACAGAGGATAAGCTGCATCCTGGGAAAATTACTTCTTTATTGTAGTATCTGCTCTGCCAGGAAAAGGACTAAAATTGGTGAGCAGAAACCAGAGTGAAGTGTACAAGCATCTAAGTACCTCTAAGATAAAATAAAACTGATATACAGTAAAGAGGAATAGATTATCATAGATTATCAACACCTTGCAGTTGTTTTCTCAAAGCAATCCTTGAAATGACTGCTATGGCCACCCTCACAGTCCTTGTTCAGATACAGCCATGTCAGCTTTGGAACATCACAGGAAGACAGGAAGGACTTGGATTCCTCTGCCAGTACACCAGAAGAATCAGATTAACTGTTGGTATAAAGGCAAGCAGGACATGGCTGTTCACAAAGAGTGTTTGATGGCACATGCAAACATCACCAGATGACTGTGTAAATAGTTCAAAGTGTCTAATGTGGCAAAGTCCATATATATGCATATAACACATAACATCAGCTATAAACAATTACTTGCCTTGTGCATTGCTAAATAAAATATACCCTCCCATTTTAACTATATATTATACACATAAAACCTGACATTTCTGATCTGCAGCTCTTACACTTGTTTAAAAGCATATCAGAATCTTAAATATAGGTAATGAGAACAGACTACTGCTCATTCATGATATCTTTTTGTACTAATCTTCCCCCCTCCAAATGGTTTAGTTCCTAATTTTGCCATACTGCTGACTTTACTGCAGGTTGCTCTCAATTTCCTGAAATCAGACACTGAGTGTCTTGCTGTTGCTCTTTGCTTCTCACTCTTTCTGAGCATGCCTTACCCTTGGTTCACTTTCTTTTCCGGCTGGTCTTCGGCACCACCTGGTGTCTGACTTGTCACTTGTTTGTTCTGTAAAGGAAATTATTTTAAACAGCATAAAGTAACATTATAATGGAAGTGCATTTAGCAGTTAGGAAAAATAATATGATTAGTCTTTTGCGGTAGCAATACCTTCAATTTTAGCTAGGATGAGAAGATTACTATCTGATGGTGACAAAAGCCTTAGAAAACAGAATTCAGAAACTTATAACATAGTATGAGAACCTAATGACTCAGGAACGCAAATACCTAACTGAATACCTCAATTACTATGAGAGGATATTCTAGGGAAGAAACTATGTCCAATAAAATCCAGTTATAAAATGCAGGAGGAAAATGTGTAATGAAGTCTGTAATGAATGCTAGACGGATGAAATGATTTTCATTGTTTCAATGTATTCACAGAACCTAAGGGCTTCCTTTTAAACCTGCACACACAGCTCTGGTTAGTTCTGCAAGCTGTGGCACCTACTGACTTGCACAGGGAACACACCTGGCTTATGGCAAAACAGAAAGTGCAGACAGAAGAGTACTGAAATGTAAGTAACTGGAAAATTAGGTACAAAAATAATCTATTGCTGTTGTTTCCTAATGCTTCACTGAAGCCATCTGAACTGGTTTTGGCTGATGATGCCTATGTAACAGATCAAAGTTACAAGGTGCTTATATAACTTGAGTTATAAGATATCAACATAAGCTAAATTATGACTTTTTATGTATCAACATAATCTGATGTCAATATAACCTAAATCATGACTTTTTATATATCTATATAACCTGATACTTATTACCCTGAATCATAACTTTTTATACAATATAATGGCTAATATATGGTTAACTTGTTGCTTAATGCTGAATAGACAAAAAACCAAAAAACAAAACAAAACAAAAAACCAAAACAAAACAAAACAAAAAAACAAACAAACAAACAAAAAAAAACCCACCAAACCAAACTTGCCAGGTGGATAGTTTTAGAGATGGACAAGTATAGTACTAATGAAAAATTGGCAAGTGCAAAGCCAGTTAGTCACAAAAGAATTTAGGCCGGTTAAGACCAGACAGACCAAGGAATAGCCTAACTGCGCATTCTCTGAAGACAAAGTTGAAAAGTCCAGATGCAAAGCAGATCTTGGAAGCCTTCATCAAAGACCCCTGACAACCCCCAAATTGGGGAGATGCAAGCACAGTGCAAATGAACAATCTAATAACCGTGATATCATACTATGCAAATTAGTTCTGGCACATATGTGGTGATGTTGTAGTGACATAGTGATACTAAGCAACCTTACTGTATAAATATACCACAGACAAGGGTGGGTTTGTTTGGAGGAGATATCCCCCTCACCACCAGCACTGAAATGAACAAATACCTGCTCTATAAACATCAGTCTATGGGGATTTATCTCCAGCCTATCTTTCAGGCATCTCTGAGATAGTAAATTTTCATAGTTGTAGCTTGTAGGGTGCTGCATTTTGCATTTGTGACCAAAACAGTATTGGAAACATTGGCATGCTTTAGCTAATGCTGAATAGGTCTTGCACAGCACCAAGACCTTTTCTGCTTCTCATGCTGCCCTGACAGTGAGCAGCTGGGGGTGCACAGGAATTTGCCAGGGCACAAAGCTGGTACAGCTGACCCCAACTGACCAAAGGGATATGCCAGACCATATGACGTTGTTCTCAGCAATAAAAAATGGGAGAAGGAGGGGACATTTGGAGTTATGCTGTTTTTATTCCCAAGTCACCGTTGTGAATTACAAAGCCCATCTTTCCTGGAAATGGCTAAACACATGCCTGCCAATGGGAAATAGTAAAAAAATCTTTATTTTTTCTTATATTTATTTCAACCCCTGATCTTTCTCACTTTCACGCTTCTGATTTTCTCCCCCATCCTGCTACAGGAGAGTTAACAGGAGTTAAGCCTGGCCACCCCTTAAATATTGCTTTCACATGGACAAAAACTTCAGGGCTACAATTCTTCAACTGAGTCCATGCAACAGACCTCTTAAAGCCCACGGAGAATTTTCATGGGCATTCTGTATGGAAACAAAGTTTTTGTTTCTCTCTGCATGCCATTTTTCTGGGTGTGTTTTTTCACAAAAGAAACAGAAAGCCTGGGACAGAGGTATCTCTGCTACACTAGCAAGCCTGTTACATCCTGATTAGAATAAACTGCACTACTAGAAGGATCCACCTACTCCCACATCTGCTTCTGGCTATAAGGGAACATCTGGCAAAAAGCAAAAGCTGAGGAATTATGTCTGTCCAAGCCTCCAGCTATTTTCAGCTCAGACCATTTCCCAAATCTGATGCAGCCTGCTACTTCACTAGCCGTGGATTACATTCTTTTTGAAGCACCTGCTCAGGCTTCCCTGAGATCTGTGTAAACTCTGCATTTGCAGCAGCCTTTGCTGACTGCTCCCGTGGCTGAACAAATGATGCCTCCAGCCGCTTCCAGCTTAGGTCCTGTTACTTTCCCGTAGTGGCTCGAAGGGGCTCACTCACAATCACAGAATCAGCTAGGCTGTAAAAGCCCCCTGAGACCGAGTCCAACCTATGACCAAACACCATGGCACCAAGTGCCACGTCCAGTCTTTCCTTAAACACCTCCAGGGTGACTTCACCACCACCCTGGGCAGCCCATTCCAATACCTAACCATCCTTGTGAAGAAATTCCTTCTCATGTCCAGCTTAAACCTCCCCCAGTGCAGCTTATGACTGTTCTCTTGTTCTGCTGCTGGTTGCCTGAGAGGAGGCCGAACCCCAGCTGGCTGCAGCCTTCCCTCAGCCAGTTGCAGAGAGCGATAAGGTTCCCCCCGAGGCTCCTTTTCTCCAGGCTAAAACGCCTAAGCTTCCTCAGGCGCTTCTTTATAGAACTTGCGCTCCAGCCCCTTCCCCAGCTTCGCAGCCCCTCTCTGCACAAAGAGGAGGAGCCTGTAGCACTTGGTGATCACCTCCCCTCCCAGCCCACCCCGCTTCCCAGGCTGAGGAGCTCCAGTTCACGCTGCCCTCTTCCCGGCCGGGCACCACCCCCGGTCCCGGAGCCCCGGAAGCGGAAGCGGCTCCCGGCGCTCCGTGTGCGGCGGCGGCCGAGGCGGAGCCGGGTCTGAATGGAGGCGCCGCGGGCGAGGGGCTGCTGAGCGCCCCGGGGCCGCCCGCACCCC